GGGATGCGTCGCGCCCTGGGAATCTTAGGAATGTGTAGGAGCTGAATGATGCTAGGGGTGGTGATAAGTGTCCGTCCGGTTGCAGCGATAATTTCATCTCTTTAAAAGCAATGCAGGACTGGAGAATTGCTTAAGTAGTTGTTAGATTCGGTTGTTGTCTCTCCTGAGCCTCGCGAGTTCGGGGAAGTTTCACAGCGGGCTCCACGCGCGAACCTCCTGCTCGGCCGGAGTCGAGAGATCGTCTTTATCTATTCTTACCATGTCGCAGAATCGCAGAATCACAGAACCAGCACAGAATAATTCTGATGAACAAAGGCTATTGCAAGTAATGTCTTTGTTTTTTTGTCTCTAAAGTATTTTCCTTTCTTTCATGAGAACAAAACATAATGATACAAATGAGAAATACATCATGAATAACAACGCTAGAATACTGCTTGTCACAAGAAAGAGAGCAGATAGTATCCATAATATTCAAGGGCAGAGTCAGTCGGAAGTGTTCCAGAAATCATTAATCATGAGCTGCTTGGGGTTCCAGTCATTCACAAGGCGATGACTGCCTCAGGGCAGCTGAAATTAATTGCTGTTGCAATCTTTATCATCGTTGATCGAGACCACCTGATCTCCTTCGATAATTGGTTTATACTTGGTGGACTGTGTGGAAAGACTCTGAATGGCAGCGTCTGGAGCCTCCGCAGAGAATCCCCTGATAAGGTGTCAAAGCAGCAAGACGAAAGCTAGGGAAGGAGAGAAGTTACTTGATGAATTCTGAAGAAGAGATAATCAGTACTCCGAACAAGTCAAGTATGTTTCAACAACGGCGGGATGGCAGCACTTACGGTACTCATGGGTGATTGTACCACCCTGGAGTGAAAAGCAGATCAGTAAATCATAAGTAGAAGGACCCCACAACTTCAACAGGACAACATACGCCTTGCACGATGGATTTCTGCGCGTCCTTGATGACTGAGTCCGGGGTGTCCTGAGGGTAAGTGACCAGAATCGACTTGGCTAGAGCCAGAGGGAGAAATCCGATAATGAGGGCAGATGACAGTTTCATTGTTACGTGAGTATGGTTCGAAATGGCACGATCACTTTGAAAAAGTACTATCTCCTTATACACAACGATGATCAGTATTCACGGTGATTTATCTCGAAGACGATAGTTTGTAGGGATATCCGACTCCTCAAGCGTAGATAAGTATCATAGGAGTATGATACAGTGGCACTGCGTCATTGGGGAGGTGACTAAGCCGGACAACAAACCAGCCAAAGTCTTGGCGTCCGTCGGTCATTCTTCAACCTTCACTTCACTTCCTCCTCAATAATAATACCTCATAGTAGTTACCACCAACCTCCGTTCTTCCCATTTCCTCTTTGACTCTTTTTTTTCCTTAATGGTTTTTTGCCAGCTTTTCTCCTTGATACTACCTACCAATTCCATCTCTGCCGCTGTGTTGGACCTCAAGGTGTTGCGTTCTCCGATCTTCATCCCAAGCGTGGAAAGCACCCTCAAACTCCTTCACTGTCATCTTCGTACCGTCTACGTGCCTTTGCTGGTTAACACCCCTGGAAGGGTCAATCGGGCGAGATAATTTACGAGGTAGTTTCTTATAGTGGGCATAGAAGGATAGTCGTGGGCTTCTGTGTGGTTTAGGTTGAGGACTGGCGCCTGCTTCGTCTCGTTGTTATCTCCAAAGTCTCGCCAAGATAGCTAGCAAGCATTTTACAAGTTTCGACTTTTCTTCCATCTCTTGCTCCTTCAGGAGATCACAGTTCTGGAAAAACACCGGAGGAGAGAATAAGAAACCTATCTTCATAAGAAGCCAACTTGAGAAACACAAGAGAAAGAGACGGGAACAAAGAGGAAAAAGAACATACTGTGCAGAAAGCACCTGAGAAAAGAAAAAAAAGGAACATCACTGCTTAAGAAGAAGAGAAGAAAGAAAAGAAGCAGCCAAGAAGGAAAAAAAGAAAGGAAAAACAGAAACATAGAAGGAGGGAAAGAAAGCATCCCAATATCCCTGAGTGTTGCTACATTCACTTGACCATTTCCTTTGTTCTCTTTCTCCCTCGCCTTCATTCTCACCTTGCCCACGAACTCGTTACCTCACAGCATACTTGCCTGTCATGTCGTCTGGGCTCGCCTCTGATGAGGTCGCTGAGGATTACAAGAACTCTCTGGAGGATCTAACCACGAACGACAGGTTCCAGATCAGCAACTTGACCGTCATAGCCAAAGAGAATACAGAACATGCTATGGCCATCTCCCGAGTTTTGGAGAACCACATTCGAACAGTAGGTGTTATCTTTGTTTCTCACTCTCATGCATTTCTCCCTGGCTTTTGTATCTCGCTCGGCGCTCAGTTGATTGTAAGTTTGGTCGGTTGAACCACTTCTAATCGTGTGCTGTAGACACCGCCAGCTCAGAAGCTTCCTGCCTTGTATGTAGTCGACTCCATTGTGAAGAATGTGGGAACTCCCTACACGCTTTTCCTGGGTCGCAATATGTATCAGACTTTCATGAATGCCTACACGTTGGTGGACTCGCAGACCCGCAGAAAGCTGGACGAAATGCTCAAGACATGGAAGGAACCTGTTCCGGGGTCACTAGATACAAGACCCGTCTTTCCTCCAGAAATTACACGCAGCATTGAAAGCGCTCTGATCAAGGCAAGAACCGCGGCTCTACAGCAGCAGCAGGCCAGGAGCCAGCAAGATATACTCAACCGCGGCCGGGTGGGCACTCCTCCTCACGGCTGGACGAACAACACCACGCTCAACCAGAGCACGGCTCGGCTCGCGCCTTCCACAGGTCAGAATGGGCATGCTCATCAGTTCCGAAATGGGCACACGCAAAATTATCACGCCGCGGTAAGATCCATTCACCTCGCAAAATGATTGTCTTGAATGCCTTTGTCATATCTAACGGATAGACAGCTGGACCCTCGATCTACTCCAACCCCTCAACCTTCACAGCGCTCGGAAGTGGATCTCACGGCATTGATTCGCGATATCGAGGCATTAATTGCAGCTGCCCGAAGCGATTTCGCCAACAACCCTCTTGACCCTTCTGTGCAACAGCGTCTCAAAGCTCTATTAGACTTGCAAGGCATCCTCCAGCGTCAAGAGCTCACTCAGGAGCAGCTGAGGCTAGTCCGTGATCAGGTCTCTGCACTCACTCCAAAGTCTACTCTTTCAGCTCCCCAGAGCGTTCCGCCAACCATTCCAGTTATGCCGGCGCCCAGCATGGCCACTCCCCCAACTCAGACCCTTTCACAGCCTCTTCAGCAGCTCCTCAACCCGGGAACATTAGCTGAGCTTATCAAAGCAACTGCCGCACGCCAGCAACCCACCCCACCACCCCAAGTCCACAGCATTCTACCGCAGATGCCAATAGCTAGCAGCACACCACAGCCGGCGGCCATGCCGACGACCGAGAACCCATTAATTGCAGCACTACGAGCGCGTGGCCTCTTGCCTCCCGCTTCCGCACCTCCTGCCCCTACCACCGCTCCATCGTCCAATCTTGCCTCTGCCTTTCCCTTAATTGTACCTGGTCAGGTGCGATTTTCAACTCCAGTGCCTACTATGCCTCAGGCTTCTAATCCCTCGAGCATTACTGTCAACGTGCAAATGAATACGGCATCCATTAAAATGTAAGTTTGCACAAAATTTGCGCTTGTAATGTTCGCTGTTGTTTCGTATGCTAATAGAATGCAGACCGCGAGAGGCACTAATAGCCAGCCTCTACGAAGCGAGATCTAACCGTTGTGGGACATGTGGCCGTCGATTCTTTGCTACAGAAGAAGGAAAAGAAAAGAAAGCTCGCCACCTAGACTGGCACTTTCGGACCAACCAGCGGATGGCGGACGCTGCCAAGCGAGCGCAAAACCGCAGCTGGTACGTTGACGAACGGGTGAGTGGTCTTCGTCCAAAATTCATATCCTGGTTGATTCTTACTAACAACGGGGCAGGATTGGATAAAGTCCCGCGAAGCCGGAGACGATGAGGATCCTGCAGAGGCAGAAGCTACAAGTGCTGGTGCCGCAGGTGCTGAGAGCGATTCAACCAAGAAAGGGCCGCCCAAGCAATGGATCCGGGCTCCCAATGATGCTACTTTGCGCAACACGCCCTGTCCCATTTGTCAAGAGACGTTTGAGTCGACATGGTCGGAGGAAGTCCAAGACTGGATATGGCAGGATGCCGTCAAGGTTGGGAACCGGATATACCACGCCAGCTGCTATGCGGAAGTTACAAAGGACGGGACGACTACGGCTGCAGGTCGGGGCACGCCCTCGGTACGGACTGGAACACCCGATTCCGTGTTGGGCAAGAGGAAGGCAGAGGTATGTTCGATACACCATGGCAGAAAGTTCGCACGTATCAAACTAATTCACCGTGCAGGGCACTGACTCTCCCGGGTCAAATGTTCGGGTCAAGATGGAACCTGTGTGAAGAAAGTGGTACTTGCTCTCTTTCATTTAACTTCGATATACGGTCCTTACTTTCTGCTTTGGAGACCAGGGGCGATGTGCATGCGTTGGAGTTGACATTATTTATACTCTTTTTGGTGGTTGCATTTAGCCAGCGGCTGTACTGCATTCGAGACCCCGCACTATGTTTTGAGAGGATTGGGGGTATTGTGGCTATCTACGAGCATTGCCGTACATGTATTCCATACAGTTCTCCATAGAACATTCTATAAACAAGTAGTTAGTCCGAGAGAAAGGCAGCTGAACCTTGTACCACACGGTTTATTTTCCCCTTGTAATCCTGGACGAGGAAGCTGGTTAATGAATTGCTGTTGGGACTGCCCCGCTCTCCCGGGAGGACCCCTCTATTATTGATAATCATAGTTGGAGTAGTCTAGACTAGAACCCATGATGAACTGTAAATGTTCGCATAAATACAAGTCCTGCTCCCAAGTCTCCGTCTCTAATTGACGCCATCCTTCTCTGCTGTAGAGTTCGACTGCCTGTTGTCCATCCTCCGACGTCGCCATGGCTCCGTACAATATCCGGTGGGGTATTATGGGTATGTTTTCCATCCTCCCTTGTACACACCACTGAGGCATTTTAAGCTGACAAGACTTCAAATAAATTATAGCCACGGGCTGGATTGCAGATAGTAAGTCTCCACGATTTCCCTCGGAACAAGCCTCAAACCGAGATGATCAATCAAGACAAACATAACAACTAATGCAATTACTTGACGCTTAGTCTTTGTAAGAGACCTTCTGCGCGACCCCAACCTCCGAGACGCATCTGACGTCTCTCACACCGTCGCTGCTGTTGCCTCCTCTTCAGCCAAGGACCGGGCGGAGAAATTCATTGCTGATACGGGCATTCCGGCGCCTTGTGTTGCGTACGGCTCGTATGAGGAGCTCGTGGCCGATGCTAACGTAGACGTGGTGTACGTCGCGACGCCGCACTCGCACCATTTCCAGAATGTGATGCTTGCACTGGAAGCGGGCAAGAATGTTCTCTGTGAGAAAGCTTTCACCGTCAATGCGGCGCAGGCCAAGATCCTGTGCGAGACGGCGAAGAAGAAGAACCTTTTCCTGATGGAAGCCGTGTGGACCCGGTACTTCCCTCTCAGTGTGCAGGTCCGAGACCTCATCAAGCAGGGAGCCATTGGCGAAGTCCTCCGAGTGGTTGCCGACAACAGCTTCGGGGATAATGTCGAGGAGCGATGGGGCACTCAGCATCGGATGGTGAACAAGGATCTCGCTGGTGGCTGCTTGCTGGATCGTAAGTTTTCTCTTCCTTCTACCGACTCCTGAGCCATTTGGCACGGTCCTAATGATCGTTTCGCTGCAGTGGGCATCTACTCCTTGACCTGGGTCTTCCAGACCATGTACCACACACTTCCCCGGGAGCAGCGCAAAGCTCCTTCGGCCATCTCAGCGCACATGTCTCTCTACCACCTGACGGGTGCCGACGAGGCCACTACGATCCTTCTCACGTTCCCGACGACCACCCCAACTAACAACGCCCAGCCCGGTCAATCCCAGGCAGTCGCCTTGACCCATCTGCGGGTCGCGACCGATCCAGATGAGCAGGGCACCGCTGGTCCCTCGATCCGCATCCAAGGGACCAAGGGCGAGATTCAGGTCTTTGGCCCCGCCTTCCGGCCTGAGCGATACCGTCTAATCCCCAAAAAGGGACTTGGCGAGATCAAGGAGGTGCAGTGCCCGTTCCCGGCGGATGGGAAGGGCATGTACTGGGAGGCCGACGAGGTGGCGCGGTGCTTGCGCGATGGAAAGCTCGAGAGCGATGGGCTGCCTTGGGAAGAGAGCATTGTCATCATGGAGGTCATGGACGAGGTTAGGCGGCAGGGTGGATTGACCTATCCGGAGGAGATCGAGTCCACCGTCTACCCTACCCGGCTGTAAGGTTTGCGGGAATGTATATATACTTGGCGCTGCGGCCGTAGATCGGGTTGTTTTACATGGCTGGCATCCTACCCTGGGTATCCGGCTGAACATAGTGAATTTGGTCGCCAAACAAAAGGTACTATACATATTGCTCTAATTCCACTGGAGGTATCTTTATGTACGGACGCCAAAAGGACTCTTCAAATACCCTCCTCTGTAGTCCACCAAGACGCAGATGCACACATCTTGCAGATTACATGGAATGATCTCAGTACTGTTCCTTCGCACATGCCACTCTTCCCCTTGCCGGCAGGGGATGTTACGGGGGCTGTATGACGCACGCTCGTGGACCCATACGGTACCTTCCAGAAGACATCCTATATTTACTTCTGGAAAACACCGAGCAAGCTCTTCCACACCTGGCCAGGCTCCTGGCTGGCGTCAATGCCTCGCCAGATACCGGTCTTCTTGTAGTATTCAACGACAGGGGCTGTCTGGACGTGGTAAGTTGAAAGACGCTTCTTCAGCGTCTCGGCGTTGTCATCGGAACGTTGAATCAGGGGCTCGCCAGTAACATCATCCTTCATATCGTTCTTGGGAGGGTTGAAGATCTTGTGATACGACCGTCCAGAGGCAGGGTGGACAAGACGTCCAGTAATTCTGGCAACCAGGAGGGCATCGTCGATCTGCAGCTCAATAGCATGCTGAAGCTTCTGCTTACGAGCTTCGAGCATGTCATCGAGACGCTCGGCCTGAGCAACGGTACGAGGGAAGCCATCCAGAATAAATCTAGAAACATTGGAACGGTCAGTCACTTTCCACCTTCAACTGAATGAACTTCAATAAGGCACGTGTGTACGAACCCGTTCTTGCACTCAGTGTTGGTGTCGAGCTCGTTCTTGATCATGTTGACCATGATCTCATCGCTGACCAGACCGCCTTGGTCCATGATCTTCTTAGCCTCCTTCCCGAGCTCAGTCTTCTTGGCGACCTGGGACCGCAGCATATCACCGGTAGCCTTTGAGGTTGGACACGGAATGTCAGACGCGCACTTTATTCATTTACTTGCAATTCAATAACGTACCAGGTGGCACACGCAGTACTTCTCCTTAAGCCGAGGCGCCTGAGTACCCTTGCCTAAAACCCCATCAGAACCATGAAGCCATTATCCAATCGGCAACCCGTGAAGAGAAACTGGAAAATCCATACCAGCACCGGGAGGTCCCATAAGGACGATGCGCATCTGCTCGGCGACAGACTTAGGCTTGGATTCGCCGCCAAGACGGCCCTCCAACTCCTGCACGCGAGTCTCAAGCTTCTCGATCATGTCCTTCAGACCGTGGACGACCTCTTCTGTGATGGGAGCCATTGCGATTACTGACGGTGAGAGAATCGAAGTATGACGCTATCAAAAAGCTCTCCGGAGAGGAACAGAAACAGGAAAGGGGAAGAAGGGAAAGGAGAGGGAGGGGAAAGGAATCAAGGTGCCTGGCAGAGAATGATGCTCAGTGACGGGGAAACGGAAAGGAAGGGAGGATCGGAGAACTAATTCTTGGAGGAGGAAAAGAGATCTAAACCGGAGCATTCTCCCGCGCGCCCGAGGTTCGGGGTTCACTGGTCCAGTACAACGCTCCAGCACCTGCGAGTAGCGACTGAATCGGGATAACATATGGGCACATGTAATCAGTTGTTGTGACTTTCAATCCTCTAAATGAGGCTTTCTCTACGTCCATAATTGTTAGTATATGTGAATGAATGATTAACACAAGTGCCGACTAGCTGGCCTTAGGCAATAAGGCCCTAAAGTGGCTGGTGCATTGGTAGCCAAGCGCAAGCCACAAAGACTACCAAAGCTTGCGTGGCTCAGCAGCGGAGGAGCTCCAGGGCAGAACAACAGCAGCTCCATCTCTTGCTCCGTCATCATCATAACCCTCCTCATTCTCATTTTCATTCTCATCGCCATCCTCGTTATCAAGCCACTAATCGGCTTCTCTCTCTCTCCGTCGCTCCCTCAATTATTTACCGTCTTCCGTGCAACCGGAATCAGCGTCTGGTCTATTCAGGGTCTTCCAGTACCCTGCATTCTGCCTCCGTTCTCATCTGATCCGGATCCACCATGCCTGCCACCACGGCGGAGACACTCTCCCTCGTCACGCGCACMGTCACGGTCGCTCCCTTAGTCCTTCTTTCAGTTGCAGATCATTATGGACGGTCAGCCAAGGGAACTCGGAAGCGTGTTGTTGGTGTGCTCCTCGGAGAGAATTCGGGCCAGACCGTTCGAGTATCCAACAGCTTTGCTGGTGCGTCGTCCCCCAAATCGGCTTAGTGATTGGACGGCGGTACTGATGTCTTTATCTTTTAGTTCCATTTGAGGAAGATGAGAAGGATCCCTCCGTTTGGTTCTTAGATCACAACTTTGTTGAGTCAATGAGAGACATGTTCAAGAAGATCAACGCCCGCGAGAAGCTTGTCGGATGGTATCACTCGGGTCCCAAATTACGAGCCTCTGATCTTGAGATCAATGAACTCTTCAAACGATACACACCGAACCCCTTACTGGTCATTGTTGACGTCCAACCAAAGGAAGTCGGCGTTCCCACAGATGCCTATTTTGCTGTTGACGAGATCAAGGACGTATGTTGATCCCGTGCGATGCCCTTGTGATGTCTTCAATTCTTATTCAACTAACCGCATCGCTCGGTCTATATAGGATGGCACAACAACGTCCAGAACATTCGTCCATACCCCTTCCGTGATCGAGGCCGAGGAGGCTGAGGAAATCGGTGTTGAACACTTGCTTCGAGACATCAGGGACGTTGCCGTCGGAACCCTTTCAACACGCATAACATCGCAGCTTCAGTCGTTGCAGGGTTTGCACTTGCGCCTGCGTGATATCGGCCAATATCTCCAGAAGGTCCTTGATCACGAGCTGCCAGTCAATCACGCTATTCTTGGCAATCTTCAGGATGTGTTCAATCTTCTTCCCAACCTATCTACTCCAGCCACGACGTCGCGTCTGAGTGGGTCGGAGCCACAGATGGAAAATAGTGAACTAGCACGGGCAATGAGCATAAAGACCAACGATCAATTGATGGCCATCTACATCAGCAGCTTGATTCGTGCTATCACGGCCTTCCACGATTTGATTGAGAACAAGATCCAGAATCGGCAACAACAAGAAGAGAACGAATCGAAGAAGGAGCAAGAAGCAAACGCTGCTAAAGGTGACAAGGAGGGTGCGAAGAAGGCGAATGGCATGAACGGCGAGCAAAAGGAGGATCAGGAGAAGTCCAAGAAGAAGAGCTAGAAGTGTCAATCAACAATGGCACAGCTGACATGAGAATTAAAACAATTCAGTTTATGCATGGAAGTGTATATTACGATAATCTGAGAATCAATCGTGTCCTGAGCACGCACCAAGCGAGCTCGAGCATTTTTGGAAATATTCATTCCTGCGCGATATAAAACGCCATCGGATGCTGGACTGTAGACAAGCCCGCAATTTCGTAAGTGATACTTCCCTTTAGATTCTTTCTGGAAGTATCCATAGTTGCATCGCCGTCAAAAGGGTTCGAAGCTTGAGGTCTCCCTGACGTTTCTGGCATTTGCGACAGAATAAAAGCCCATTTCCTGGCAAACAGACAGACAGATATGCACAGCTGAAGGACTTTGCTGAAATGATGGTCTGAATATCTCTTAGGAAGGAAGTAAATTCTTGTATAGCAGCGCCTTCTAAGGACAGAGGCGTAGGGATATCTGCGTTTCAATGTCGGCGTGGTGTCGAGGATCATCCACCCCAACCAGCACACCACGCCGCCAATTCCTCGCAAGCCAAAAAGAGAGGACCAGCTTGACCACGGCTGGCGCTACTGAAGACTTCAGGACAGCGCACCATCAGCAAGCACGCGAGGAGATGTTTACAGACAGGGGGTGCCAGTCGGCTGGATCCACGGGTCAACGAGCCGCCAAAAACATAGCGGCAAGTCGGGTCGCCGCCGACGGTAGACTGTTCAGCCAGGGTCTCGTCTTCGGCTTCTCCATCAAACTGAGATGAGTAGGCCGGTCCCGGATTGCGGAAGGCATTGAGCGTAAAGGTGGGACATGTGCAGTTCCAGGCGTGCAGGCGGACTTCGTAGCCCTTTTGCTCTACGCGTGTCCGGGGAGCCCGGGATGGAGAGGTCGGAGCAGCCGTAGACGTGGATATAACATAGAACATGGCTTCTTGCGGCCTTTCTGTGGCGCTGGTGTCGGTTTCTTCTGGCTGTGATGCAGATGCTTGCCCGACGTGGTCATCCAGCATGAATCGCCTGACCAGTCCTCGGTCCAAAATATCTAGGGCCAGGAGAAACTCATTGGGAAAGAAACAGTGCAATGTCAGCATAACTGACTTGACTTGAGCTAACTGAGCCTCGGGGAGGGAAGAGAAAGGTGACTGGCTTGTGGAAGTGTGTCGTTGAGGACGTATGATGGGATGGTCCATCCCATCGCTGGGATTCTGGGCCTCAGGTCTACATGATGCGAGTCGTGAAATTAGTCGGTCAATGAACTGGGTAGTTGAAGGTAGGCTTCTGTGGTCATCTTCCAGCGCTGATTCCATGGAAGTACATATGCTTGGTGGGATGCTTTCAGCTTGTCCAGATAGAAGATGAAAAAGCTCGGGTTGTCATCAATTAAGTCCCCACTTACCATAAAGATAATTTATGACTTTCTCGCTTTTTTACAGGCACTGAACTTCATTTTGAAGCAGTCAACAAGTTATAAATAAGCATTGTCTATTATACATAAGCACATGCGGAATATCAATTACGCAAGGAACAAAAGGACCGCAATCATTGCAGAGGCGAAAATGCCAGCATCAGCTCCCACCCATGTATACTTTGTATATTATACACACTCGATGTGGCTTTGCACTACTTCATTTTTTGGCTTTACTGCGCAGCCTCGCCGATTGACGGGTTCCTTTTGGCGGACTCGAGGGTTTCTTTGTGACACCTTTCGGCTTGGCTGCTTTCCCGGACGCTGTGTCTGTTGCTTCCTTGGTACCAGCCCTGGAATCTTTGGTGTCTGCAGTCTTTGAAGGCGCACTCTTCGGCTTCTGCACTACCCGTGGTTTGAGCGACATGGTCACTTGTCCCTCGAGGATCTCGCCGGTTTCTTCTGAAGTCAGCGTCAGCTGCAGAGTAGCACGCTGCGTTCTTGCTCTGCGCCCCAGTGCCACAAGTGCACCTTTACCTGGGTCCAGGACCAGCTGCTGGTTGATCGTCCATTGGATGGGTCTCCCTTCCAGCTCAATGGTCCCTTTCATTTGTACTCCACCCTTGACAGACCCTTTTCCTGAGCCTGATGCATTTGATAAGCCGTCATTGGAATGGCCTGAAGGGGCCGAGCTCTGGCCAGCGCTTGCTGCTTTGGGGCTGGAGGACGTGACAGCGGCCGATGAACCTGTATTGGAGTCAGCTGAATTGCTCTGGGATTCCAGTCGCCGATACGCAAGTATGTAAGCATTCTCCTTTCCACCGTCTGGCGAGCTCATGCTCTTTTCCAGTGTCTGGGTAAATGTCACGCGTTTGTCGTTGGTCATCACCCACTGACCAGAGGGACCCTTGACGGCCGCAGTATAGTGTCCGCTTTTACTGTCATCGCCGATATGAAAGATGACAGCATAGAGCTCGTAACCGATCTTGCCTTGTCCCCTAACACTGTCATCTAGAAGAGAATCTGGAATCACTAAATCTCCCTGAACTTCGATTTCGTCTTTCAGCTTCCCCGACTCTTTGTATCGATTGACCTGAACGACAAGAATTTCTGAAGGGAGTAGTATCTGACTCTGAATCTCATGGGCGATTTGTTTAGCGGCGCATGTCTTGCAATCCGAAAAAGTCTCCGAGTTCATGCCACTAATGATGGCCTCCTCTATAGAAGCAGCTTTTTTTAAGCCTGGGAGATCTGCACTGAGGTACCGTACCCTAACCCCCGGCACTGAGTCTTTCTGCTTGCATGTCCTGCAAACGCGGCACTGGCTCAGTGCGACGGTCATCAAATCCATGAGATCGCCATTGCTTTATTTATCAGCTTCATGATTATTATGTTCTATGGGATGCGGAAAGTGCGCGACCTACTAGGGTTGGCTTGTGTGATTTTCGAGGAGAGAGATGATGTTTTCCAGCATCTCAAGTGTGTCATGCTGCTGGCCCGGGGTTGTATGCCAGCGCAAGTGGCCGTACTTTGGACTTTGAAGTTCTGTCCACAAGGTCTCCATGGCCTGTTCATGTCCCTTGCGACACTGCCAGTAGGCAATGATCATGTCGTACAATTTGCGAACCACGTCTGGGACTGAATTACTCGTGCTTTGCCCACAGTATTTCTCGCACCAGCTTAGAAACTGTGGAGTGTGGAGAAACAGCGTGAGAGCTGCATTCCGGTAGCAGAGGTTCTGTCCCTTATTGTTGTCAAAGCCTCTTGTGGGCAAGCTTGACTTCAGGGAGACATGATTCCAGGCCGCGGATACAGCGCTTTGCTGCTGGGAGTTGTGTTAAATCAGTTCTCCGTAAGATGATGTGCGTTAGAGAAGGACTTACGCCTGAAGGGGGCGTAAGCTGATTCGCCATCTGTGCACACCAGTCCGACGGGCAATATATGCTTGCTGCTGCAGATGCAAGATAGGTCGTCCTGGATAGGAGACAAGGTATATGATGAACCTGATGAGACAAGTATGTTCCACTTGTTGCAGTAATATGAATCGTATCAATCCAGGGCAGTCAGACTCGGGTTTTGGATGCCATTCTCAACAGGAACTAATCCTGGAGCTTTATGCCTGTCATGATAGCCAAAAACTACTTGACTGCTTGCTTTGCTCCGTACTCTGTCCTTTGTCATTAATGTGTATCAAAGCCATGTTGAATGAACGCTGAAAGTAGGATCTGGGATGCTGTTTCATTGTAGCCTTGCGAAGATACAATGAGAGAAGGTATTCGAAATGAGATCAGCGTTGTCAGATGTTTGGCTTGCTTTCAAATATGTCTTTATCAGAGAATGTCTCCCAAGGTCCAGCATTGTAAGACATAAGCCTGGTTTCTTTGAGATGATGCCTCAAGATTGTGGTAGAGATTGCGCTTCAGATGATGCAAAMAATGAATGAATAGTTGATCATAGCCTTTATCTCAAATAAAATTAGCATCCATGACATTTCTTAGAGACTGAGTCTGCAACAAGGATATTCAGTCAAACAATGGACCGCTCTCTTTCACACTGCTTTCATTCTTTTGTCAAATAGCAAGGCACCCTTCTCTTTCATGCATCTGTTCTTATCCAGCATTATGGAAGTCTCAAAGCAGCAGAGGAAAGTATGATAACAGATTTCAGATATGTCAGTCAACAAAGACAATTCGCAGGATCTGGGTCAAAAATCTCAAAATTAGACATCCGTGACATAGTTTCCCTTCGAGGTAAGCATCATCTCTATCTTTGATCAGACATGCCTGTATGCACATTTAGAGAGGAGTCTACTGAGTGCGGCATGAGTGGCACTGAATATTTGGCTATGTATCTCGTTGGTCGCTCTATTATGCTATCGAAACACATCGTGCCTACTGAGCGCTCTTTGGCCATTGAGGTACATCGATCAAACAAAGACCTACAGCATATTCTGGCCAGAGTACCCAACGATACCCTGGCCGACTGAAGTCTAGATTCCACGACAATTCCGGCTCCGAGCGACATTGTCAAACCTGAAGCAATCATATTACAGACACGGGAAGTCGTGTGCAAATGAAACAGCAGAATTATATAATATGGGCCTGTTGTAAGGAAAAGACGCATCAGCGTTCCCACATCATCATGATACAGTTGATATAGTCGAATGCTTTTGATGCATCCTTCTATTTGCATTGTTAGCATCATGGTTAAGGTAAGACTAGGGTGGAGTATTGTGGCCCATTCGGTCCAAACTGTGCCTATGAATCGCTGGAGATCCATTGGGCCGGCTACCAACTGCATCCATCGTTCCATATTGTGTCATAGCCTTCACAAGCTTCAAGTCAGTATGATGAACATCTTCTACTAAAGCAGTGACACAGTTGGTGAAGGTACATCGGTGGGTCAACCAGAGCCTATGATTCCTATATGCTTTCTCCTCTGAGGTGATCCATACCCGATAATTTCTTGAACCAGACCCAGGACATTTTCTTTTGCGGAGTCCAGAGCTCATGAACCGGTTCCTATGATGGCCCAAAGACTTCGTCCCGCTTGTTCGCCACGTCCACAGCTTGGTCAGGTCAGTACTATTACTTGGTTCGCACTGGAGCGGCAATGCCGTGTTGACCTTCGGCCATGAGCCTGGGCCGTAAACTCATAATCGAGTAATTTCGTGTGTTTCCCCACATCTCCGAGATTCACGTTTCAGCTTGTCAGATATGGAGCCAACTACGACCCAGATACCCAGCCTAGACCCCTCGTCAGTAAACGCCAAACAGTAGGGCTCATGCCCAACCGTCCAACACTCACTGTGGCTCACCGCTGACATTTGATCGCCATGACTGGGACGGTCTGGTCCTGTTGGTTTTCAGTMTCTGGAACGCTGAATTAGCAGTACAACCGTACGACTGTTCAACTCGTCGAGTGGAACGTGTTTTGTAGATGAATTACTGGGCAGAAGCGCATGCTCAATCACTATCTACAGCTGTCACAGCAGAGTTGTTGATGGACATTCCTAAATTCAATGTCTTTGCATCCACGCAAACGTAGCTTAAAGTATGGCTGAGCTCTGCTGTCAGGGTAATAATGGCTAACATTCATGATGAACGGACTTCAGAGGTCAATTGACACACTATTGAGAGAACTGAGGTCAGATATTGATCTACAGCGTAATAGCAGATCTAGGTAGGTAGCTCATTAAGAGTAAAACTGGGCTCCTGACAATTTCATGCTTGGTAGTCAGCAAAAGATACAGCAGTTGATTGCGTTGCTATCATGGACATACAAAGCACTAGATAGAGAGACTGAGCTCCGCAAAAAGACTTCCAGTTGATGACTTCGGCCATGGATTTCTATCTTCAATTTAATCTACCTTTGGAAGGTGACAGCTGGGTTCTTTTCCCGGTACAAAGCATCGCCCAGCCACGGCCACCACAAATCCACTGTAATCAGCACTAACGACTCCACTTTGACCACCAAACGGTTGATTACTTGATTGTCGTCGTCAAATTTATTATCGCGTACGGTACGAGAAATATCGACTACTCCGCTGTCTTCTCCCACAGCCACCCAGGGCTTTACCACTGGATGACTGTTTTGCTGCCCAGATCAGATACATGCTCTGTAGGACAGTATTACTCTGTAATAGTACATAATCACTGCCGAAGATTCATGGTTGATTCTGACTGTGGGATACAGGGTATGATAAGTACTCTGGTAATTCTTGACTATTTGCGTTTTAAAGCGCTTTCCTCGCTTATTTTTAGCCTCAATGCTCCACTGGACCACAGCAAACATCATACCGTGTACTCATAGTAGATAGGAAGGCAGTCAGTACCCCGTAGAATACCGGGATCTGATTGTCGCTGACTTGCTTAGGTAGCTGGAATCGTCCTTCAGATTCGTCATAAGATATTTGTCGCGCATAATCTGAATCGCGAACGAGACACATTGAGGATTACCCAAGTTACTTTTACCTGACCCCTCGGTAGCTAAATGAAGGGAAATGAATAGGTGCATCTGCTTGATGTCACAGACGAATTCAATTTTAAATTACCTTGCCTCAAACCGTGGCGCAGAGTGGGGGAAAACGCCCCCGAGCCTGTCGGACATTTTCTTTGTGACGATCATTGCGTACTGCGTACTTACCAGGAATAGATAGGTAGCCTGCAACCTACCTTAGTCTGGACTGGGCGTTGAGGTGMCCCCACCCGTTCAGCGAATGGTGCTGGTTGCCTACGGCTGCCCTTCTCGACTGTTTTGAGACTCGACAGTAACCTAAGGTAAGTAGGTACGGGTATCCATAAAGTACAGGTTAACGTCTCAGGTCCAAAACAGTCTCACTATTCATTAACATTTGAGCATCACTATCCATTCCAATGATCGATCCAGTCACTAAAAGTTTCCTCTCCTGACCGTAGAACGTGCCCAAGTCCACTGCTACTGGCTAATAGAAAATGTGTACATCATGGCTCTCATTTCAGAAGGGTCATTTACCCTGGATTATTAACGCCATATATCCTGCCACACACGTCACTGTCACTAATCCTATGATCGAATAACGGCACACTTTTGATCTCACATCCTATCTACACAATACACATTTCCTGTGACTATACATGATCGATTTTAGTGCAGCCCTGGCCTTAGCTGGCCTTTGGTCGAGCAAGATCAACGCTTTCATATCCATCGTACTTCATTGAGGTTCCTGTCCCACTCGGGATCTGCGAGTGCAGAGACCAGAGAGGCACAGTTTGACATAGGTCCAGTAATATTCTTTACTCTTCCACAGTCATGGTTAGATCACTTCGCAGAAAGAGCATAAAAGTCTCACTTATTGAGGTCAGAAAACACCTGTTCTCGACCAGCTGAACATGGATAGGTAGGTAGATTGGCAAGTTGCAGCCCACCGCCACTTGATCGGTTTAACCCAGATCAAGCTGTGTCGTGTAATTTCTGATACATCTTAAGATATGGCTGAGCAACAGTAATCGATCGAACCAGCTCTGATGACCTGATCTTTTACTGTTCAACTTGAGGGGGCTTGACTGTCATTAACCGTACGTGGCTGAGGTAGGTAGTAGTACTCGTCAACTTAGCCGGACGGACAACGACCGAATGTAATATATCGTCTCAGCCAGGACCATTGTCGACTGAAGTCCGCGATAGATAACTATCAACCTCGGGCCTATTCCTGCGGCTTGGCAACTTGGCTCCCATTCAAGCCTCACACTTTCCGAGAGTAGACCAGCGGCAGCCCTCCTGCCACTGTATAACAATGCAATTAATACCTGTTTACTTGAGGACATGAAGGGACCAACCCCGAGCATTGGAAAGGGTTAATTGGCTGGCTTGATATTGTGTTGCATCCACCAGCTTAGTCGGAACAGTAAATTAAGGCAAGCCACCGTTGGCCCCACTGGTCCCTAGGTAATCTTGCAGATGACGGGTAGCCCCTTGTTCCTCGGCCCTGTCGTTCGACGAGGTGATAACTCTCAAACGAAAGTTCAGCAATCAGTACGACCGTGATTCTGATGACCTTTCCCTGTGCTTTTGCACAAGTTCAAAGAGCCGTGGAACTTTCCGTACTCTGTAATATAAAGTTGAATGTGCGCTAATAGTCTTACACCCAGTATCACAATTACTTCAGGGCATAGTAATGTGAAATCAGTGTCGCCATCCGCTTCAGGATCCATCATAGGAGCAGCGCGGGTTCTGGCTATGGCGGTAATAATAGTGATCATAATTTCGGTCCGCTGGCGGGTTTAGATAGGATCTAGAATCGCGTCTTGCTACGTGTTTGTGGTTCTGGTCCGACAGATCAACAAGCCCTAATTTCGCAATAGATCATCAGAACCATCAGATCGCGAACGAGTCTTATGTAGATAGGTGCTATAGTAGGGCTCATCCACCAAGG